GCGCATGCTTTAGAGGGGAGGGGAAGGCACCAGTTTAGAGGGAAAGATTGAAGATGTGAGTGAGGGAGCATAGAATGGAAGAAGAGGGTGACCGTAGTAGTTGTGAGGGGACAGGATCCAGGGGGCAGGTAGTGAGACGGGCTTCTGAGAAAACCTTAGTGACCTCTTCGGTAGTAGCAAGGTCAAAAGAGGAAAGTGTTGAGGGAGGTTTAGTATAAAGTATGCTAAGTGGGATGGATGTCTTTGCAGTGGTGATGCCCTTACGCATTGCGTCAATCTTGTTTTTGAAATGATTTGCAATCTCGTGAGCAGTGAGTGAGGTACTGGGTGGAGGTGGAGAAAGTAGAGTTAAAAGCAGAGAAGAGACGATGAGCACTGGATGACATGGTATTAATAAGAGTGACAAAGTAGGCTTGTTTGGCAGCATAAAGGGAGGAATTGTATGTTAAGAAAGCAGATTTATATCGGATGAATGCTTGCTGGGATTTGGTTTTACGCCACAAACGCTCCAGCGCACGACTATGTCGTTTAAGATTTCTGGTGTTGTCAGTCTGCCAAGGTTGTAACGGTTGGGGCCCGATGCTCCGTGTTGTTAGAGGAGTAAGTGAGTCTAATGCGGATGAAAGCGAACTGTTGTAGACAGCAGTGGCCAGATCAAGGCAGGAAAGGGGAGAGATTCTGTCATAGAGTTGGTCAGTTGCAGAGTGGAAAGGAGTAGGGTTCAGGTTGTGAAGGTTTCTGCGGGTAATTGTTTGCTGCTTGGAGGGATAAGTGTTTGAAGACGGGGACACTGTGAAGGTGATGAGATTGTGATCAGAGAGAGGAAAGGGGGTGTTTGCGAGGTTGTAGGGAGTGAAAAGCTAAAGAGAAAACAAGGTCTAATGTATTCCCATCAGAGTGAGTGGAGGACTGTATACACTGTGCTAATGCAAAAAGATGAGGTTAGGTTGAAGAGTTGGGATGTAGCCGGGTTGTTGACATTAATAGGGATGTTAAAATCTCCGAGAATGATAGTGGGTAGTTCAGAGGAGAGAAAGTAGGGTAGCCAGGCGGAGAAATCATCAAGAAAGCGGGACACGGGTCCAGGAGGGCAATAGATCACTGCAATCCTCAGAGAAATGGGAGGAAACAGCCGGATGCAGTGAATCTCGAAAGAAGAGAAGGATAGAGAGGGAGGGTTAGGGAGGACTTGAAAGGTGCTGAGTGGGGATAGAAGCAAACCAACCCCACCACCTTTACGACCACTGGGTCTGGATGAGTGGGTCCAGATGAGGCCTCCATAGGAAAGTGCTGCGGGGGAAGCAGAGTCTGCTGCTTGGAGCCAGGTTTCTGTAATTGCTAGTAGGTTAAGGGAGCGGGAGACAAAAAAGTCATGGAGGTGAGCTTATTACAGACAGAGCGGGCATTCCAGAACGCACATGAACAGCATTGGGGTTGGTTCCAGTGTGGATTTGATTCACACTATGTGCTAAAAGATGTATGAGTCAAGTGCAATGCCTCTGGATACGCAACACATAGACATGAAGAAAGTCTACAAGGATGCTTTAAATACCATGTAAATTATTAGCGAGAAAGAAGCTTCACACCAAGCATGAAGATTTCAAATAAATTATTATTTTCAATGAAGTGTATTCAGCACGACACATCAGCCAACACATTTGAGGGGCTCCATCTCTCTTCCTTTATCAGGTCTCTGTATGTTGTAAGATCTTTTTAAGGAGCAGGACTCAAAAAGGTATAAAGTGCTTAGAGTTAATAATGCAGAATACTTCAGTTAAAGCAACTGATGTATGCCTCTCAGGGATTTTTTCTTCAATTTTGACCAGCATATACCTTAAAGTGATTGTAAAGGATTAATTGGTAAAAAAAAAAAAAAAACATGTCATACTTACTTGCTCTTTTGCACAGAGCAGCCCTAATCCTCCTCTTCTCGGGTCCTCCACTGGTGCTCCTAGCTCCTCCCACCCTTCTGAGTGCTTCAATAGCAAGCCATTGGCTATGGGGGCACTTGTGCATGCTTGCTCCTGATCCAGCTCTGTGTGTTCATAGAATCTGACTCCGCTGACTCCTGGCTGTGATTGATTTCAGTGGGAGCCAACGTCTCTTGTTATTGTCTTTGCAGCAATGAGGAGGGTGAAAGCAGAGGGAGCCTCTGCTCTCGTGCACATCACTGGATCAAGATCAGGCTCAAGTAAGTAAAAAGGGGAGCAGCATTCAGTTTTTTTGCCTTAATGCAGAGAATGCATTGAGGTAAAAATAAATGTTCTGCCTTTAGAACCAGTTTAACTTTATGACCATGTGCTTCTCTTGGTTTGATGGTTCTTCTAGTTTTTTCACTGATAATATTTTCTATCAAATTAGAAGAAAATATGGAAATGTTCACATAGAGACAAATTAGTTACACAAAGGGTAGAAGCAATTTACTCTAGAGTGAGACTAAATGCAACCTGTTCATTTTTTGTTTATCACCCTTTCAGGGGACTAAAGCATAATGCCATGTAGAATGCACAGTAAAATATGTTCTGAATAACTCATTTGTGTTTTGTTTCTTACATGCTCCCTATTGACATTATATGGACCATCATTGCCATGTAAAAGTGGAAGTCCTGATTGCTCAGTCAATCTTTAAAAGCATCGGTATGCCCAAAATCTAATTTTCGTAAGTTTACCATTATGCCTCATTGTATACAGTTTTCTGCAGCAAATTGTTGCAAAGTTATTTCACCTGGAGATCTTTCCAGTAGCAGAGCTTTCTGTTTCTGGCTGACAGCACATAGCCACTGCCTTACAAATAGCAGCAGTGTTGTCAGCCTGCTGTGTGCACTCTTCTGTTGGCAGTTGGGTTAACTATCAGATAGGCAGCCAGACGGCCAACAGAAGGAGCATGCAGGGCAGGCTGACAATGCTGCAGCTACCACACAGACATTGGCTTAGCTGTGTCAGCCTGCAACAGGAACTGCAACTATTACTAGCAAGACACCCATGTATGACCTTTTAAATGAGATTAACAAAAAAATATTTGTTTATAAAAACTGTATACAGTGAGACATATTGTCAAAGATACTGAGAATAGATTTTGGGTTTTCATGCACTTTAAGCTTCCAATGCCTTGGTGCCTAGTCTTAGCCTTGTACACCCTCTGTAGGACAGTGCCAGCTGAGCAATTTATCACATACACTTTTGGCATTATTACTTCTGATCATGAGATATGGCCCTTTACCTGAAGAGCTGAGTTTTCTAATTGAAAGAGTAGAACAGGTTAAAGCTTTCTGGCTCACTACAATACAAGGCCAGGAGGTTAAGACCCTTCCTAACAAACCACAGAACAGAAGTCTTCTGCTGTTTGGAGGCAATTTATTACAGCTGGAGGTTTCTTTATTGAAGAGAGTGAAGAACTTTTATTTGAAGAAATAGATAGGCTAAAACTATTCTAATCCAATATTAAATAAATTTTCAAGCAGTGTGCAGCAAGACCTTGGAATAACAAGCAATAAACCTTGGTATCTGTAGCTGAGTCCTCTGAGGTCAGTAAAGGTTTGATTCTATCACTTAGACTCTCTTTATTGTGAGTGCTTTGAAACCCATCAGGTTCCTAATGTGGTAAATCAATCGAGTTTCCTTTTTATAGGCCTTCTGTGTACAATACAGCACTCCACAAAACTATTCATTGACTCGGTCTGCAGGGGAATTTGCATTGTGAGCGTTTTTATTTTCAGGCTTCCAGATATTGGCAGGCGAATCAAAATATGTTTTAAGCTTGGAGTGATAAATGGTGAGCTCAATTAATTGAGGCTGGATTGCCTCTGACGATCTGCAGTATGATAATGAGTTTTATACATCTGGGTAATTTTTCAGGTTTATTCCAGCCCAGTTCTATAGCTTGATGTGAACGTTAACTCTTGCTGAGCAGTTTCTGCATCCTATCTTTTTTTTTTTTATTTGCTTAAAATCATCATCCAGTAAAAGAAAGAAATTCATATTTTTCAAGTTTGGCTGATCTATGATTCGTCCATTGCTCTTCCTGTTCCAAAGGCTCAAGGTTTTTTACCTTCATGCACTCTATGCATGAAGGTAAAAAACCTGTGTGTAGCAGCCCCCCCAGCCCTCCCCAACACTTACCTGAGCCCAATCTCAATCCAGCGATGCCCCTGAGAGCCTTGGTTCTCTAGGGAATCTCACTCCTGATTGGCTGAGGCAGCAGCAGGAGCCAATGGCAATCACTGCCAGTGAACAAATCAGGAGAGGGAGGGGAGCCGTTGCTCTGTGAGTGAATGGACACACAGAGCCACAGCACAGGAGTGAGCCTGCTCAGGTTCCCCTATAGGCAGTGGTTACTGCAGCAAGTGTCTTTAGGATTTTCCCTTACCATTTTTTGTGGTGGTAACTCTAACTCCAAAATTTTGGATCTTCCATCATTTTCTGTCTCCGTGACAATGTCACCAGTACAAAGAGAGGACAAACCTCAAATGGGGGCACCAAAAGCAAATAAAAAAGAACTGACAGAGGGTCTACCCTTCCCAGATGCACAATAGGAAGTAAGTGGAAATCTCACTAAAGTACAGTAAAAACTCTTCTGTTAGACAGATGACTCTGGAACAGGTGTTGACATTTCCCCCTCTATTCCAGTTCCAGATACAACTGTAAAATATTATTTTTACCACCACTTCCCAGTGACAATGTTCACCAGGACAAGTAGAGAGGAGGAATCTCCCCACAGACAAAAAAAAAAAAAACCTGACAGAGGTTTAAACTCTTCCCTATTCTATGCAAAACTAAGACAAAAGTTTGGCTTTAGAACATTTTTAAGTTGATACACCATGTCTCTCACTGAAACCTGGGGCAGAGATGTTTGGAGGGTAGAGAAGTTACTGCTCTGACTCATTCAACAAGCTTTTCACAGCAAAGGTGCTAAGCAGAAAGAGAAAACCTGTGAAAAGGTGACAGGAGCTCCACCCACTGGCGGCAAATGAAAAAAAATATATGCAAAGTTTCATATTAAAGCAGAGCTCTACTCAAAATGGGAAGTTCCGCTTTAAGCCTTTGTCCCCCGCTCCCCATTAAGGATTGGCACCTTTGGGAGTGGGGGGGGAGCGGGTACTCGAATTTGACAGGTACCCGCTCCCACTTCCGCTGCGATCGCCTAGGCGATTGGAAGCGGAAGTTGTCCTCCCCCCTCCCTCCCCGTAGTCTTCTGGGACACGTGACAGGTCCCAAAAGATTACGGGCCATTCACAAAGCACAGCGTGAAGCCGCAAGCTGTCACAGCCGAGTGCCCACACTGAAGATGCCGGCACCAGGGAGTGAAGACAGCTGGTGAAACCAGCCGTGGTTAAGACACCGCTGGACCGAAGGACAGGTAAGTGTCTGTATTTTAAAAGTCAGCAGCTACAGTTTTTGTAGCTGCTGACTTTATTTTTTTCCAGGTGGAACTCCACTTTAACTGATTGAAAAGAGAAACAAATTTCTTAAATAGTTATTTTTTACCGTTGGCTTTAATGAGAAAGAAAATATGTACTCATTCTTTAACTAAGGAAAACTTAGAAAAAATGTACTTACAAAATGGCTGGATTAGTCATAGCCAGATTTATTCTGTTAATTGTTTTGGTAATTGTTCATTTCTAATGTTTTTAACACTGAACAATCATGTTATGTAAAATATAACAGTACTAATCTGCTGATCTTCTGAAGTCTTGCTGTTCTAGGCTTATGTTTCTTTTCCACATACAGTATGTGGGTTGGGTGCAAATGTAGTCATCCCTTGGGGTGGTTGAGAATGATCCCCTAAATGGTGAAGCAGGCTCACCATCCTGACTAATAAAAGAAAAGCTGGACACCAGTCAATTCAATCTTGTTAAAGTTTTATTTGCTAAATAAACTCCTGGGAGAGAGGGTTCGAGATAGAAAATATCCAAAAATATATTTAGCAAACATTAATGTTGTTAGCCCTTTAACAGCAGCAAAGGAGACTGCAATGGTCATTTAAGAGCAGTCACTGTTGAAGTCATATTCTGTTGCTGAAGGTCACTGGATCTTTTTTTTTCTATAGGCCCTTGACCCAATGTGAGCAGCCACAGGTACCTTGGCTGGTGAGCAGGGAGGAACACTCCAGCTTAAACTGTTAGTAAAGGCTAACTCCAACTATTCTTAAGATTGTTCCTTCCTCCTTCCTATCTTGTGTACCCTTCATACAAAAAGATCTGTGGACTTATCTTTTTTAATCTGATCCAGTCTGGTCACATAATTCAGCGGCTGTGACTCCCTTGTCTAATGTAATGCTCAACAATATCTGTGAATTTCCAGAACCGTGATGACCCCCATAGGTTCCCATGACTAAGATAAGGCTAACTGTGACTGTTCTGAAAGAAATTTCCCTCCCCCTTTTCCTATCCAACCTGCATACCCTGTATGAAACAGATCTGTATACATACCTATTTTTAATCCCATCTACTCTATTACAGCAATTTTTTCTTTCTGCTGTGAAGGAACACAACCACGGTACACATTCTCTATAGGAATAGCTTTCTGTAAACACTATCAGACTGCCACGGCTGTTCTGCAGGTACAAGAGCAAACAGTATGTACTCTGGACACCAATAAAAGGTTGTTTGCTAAATAAACAACATGCATAAAGCATTTGCAGGTAAAAAATAAATTGCAATGGACACATTTTTAATGTTTCCAAATTAACGTACCTCTCTATTCATTAATGCACATTAAAATGTATTGTTTAAATGCAAACAGTGCAGGACGGAGGTGCAGGGTGATAGCGATGAGCACATAATTTATAATGCAGCAGTATGCTTGAAGATTACTCCTTTAAACAGGTCCCCTTAGGCTTTACAGTGGGATAGATGGATCAATTTCACTTCCTTCATTTAAAGAAGCAATTCTTGGTCACCTCCTCTCCTCAATTTTGGACTAAAATCAATGGCCATGAATCTTAACTGGGGCAGTCTGTCCTTATTCATCAAATAGCCTAGCATGTTGCAAATCTGTCTACTCATGTATTTATGGCACACAAGTCAGTCTTCTAACTCGTGTGTAGTCTGGATGAGCTCTGGGTTCTGGTAGAGTACAGATTTGCAATAAACCCAACCCATTCACAGTCTGCTGACATGGTACTACATACTAATATGGACATTTTGCCATCATAGCAACCAATGATCAATAATGCACATCATGGCTTTTGATTAGAAAAACAAATAATGGGTCTTTCTTATGTCACAGATTCCCAGCAGCCTTTTGTCATTGTGTGTTGGAGTGGCTAGGGAAAGCTAACAGTGTGCTAGTTGTGATATACATATATATGCTCTACATTGCCATAGACAGTGCTGCATTGCTGTGAATTACAATGTGGTGGCTTACGTACGAGTGTTTATCTACAGTACCTACAGTACATAGACCCAACAGTCCTCGTTAGGTGACAACTTCAGTTCTTGTTTAGTTGGTGTTTTTTTTTACTTTCAGCTAGGTTAAAAAAACTAAAACAAACAAAAAACAATATAGGGTTAGGGTTTTAGGTTTTATTTTTGGGGAAGTTATATTTTATTTTAATTTACATTTCTTTGCATTTCAATTTGTCACTACACAGACAAAGTTGCCCTTTGTTTGTAGCACCAGAACCAGCCAGCCATCAAAAAGCATCTGGGCAGGATGAGGATAGGCTCTGGGAAGCTAGGTTTTTTCATCACAGCAGTGGCTCCTGGTTCAAGTTGTTTACCATTGTGTCACCATTTGAGGAAATGACCAGAATTGTGAGCTGAAACAAGGTGGGGATTATTATTATTATTCAGGATTTATATAGCGCCAACCGTTTGCTCAGCGCTTTACAATATAATTAGTAATATGTGGTGTCATAGAGCAGGTCCTGGAGGAACAGCACTAGAAGGAAGAAAAAGATTTCTTGCTGTTTTAGATCCAGTAGGATCCTTTGTCTATCGTCTCCATCCCTGTGAGGCAGAGGCAGCAAGAAGCCGAGGAAGAGTACGAGAAGTGTTGGAGTGCTGTGGATGAGAAGCAGGAAGGAATGGGGCAGACATCCAGGGGGATGTTTTCCCCATCCCACACCCTAGTAGTTGTATGTAGGGGGAGTGAGATTATTGAGGATACTGTTGTCCCCATCAACACCAAAGACTTAGGGTCTTCTTCTGCTCATCATGCTGTGACGCCCATGTAAGGAAGGATTTGGGCTATGAAGTAGAGAAACCATTACAGGATGGTCAACTTTTCAGATCCCTAATACAAGGGGAAAATGGCAGATCTCATACTACTATCCCAGAGGGTGCTAAAAGTGCACTATTTAAAAGAGGTGCTTTGGATGAACCTCTTAGCTGAATATCCAACTAGTGGCATGATCCTCTCTCATGTCTAATGTCCCTCTGATTCTAAGATCCCGGAAAAAGAGGAGATGCGGTGGCAGTGGCTGCCTGAGCAATGCTTATAATTGTTTTTCCAATCGCATTGGACAGAATCAGCTGCAGGAAACAGTCACAAGCAGTATCTCAACCAAAAGCATGCAGACTAATTGTGTTCCAGAGCTAAAACTGACACTCTTAAAAGTGAGGATCACATGGGCTATTGACTGTACAGGCATAACCACTGACTGGAGCTTGTATAGTATGCACTGGTGCTTCTGGCTTGCCTTGCAGCCACTGTGCTGTCTGAGAGGGACTCAGAGAGACATATTTGCCTTTTCATCAACACAGTCTGTCAGGGATCTCCTCGATCCCCGCCGCGATGGGCTCGGCGCAGGCGCACTGCTCCACCCAGCGCACGGGCACTAGGTCCGGGCCGGCCGCGGCGTTCGAGTTCGCGCATGCGCAGTAGAAGCCGCGGCCGCCCGCTGGGCACCAATGGCAGCGCAGGGCGGGATATTTAAAGGTCCCTGAGCTGTCATTTCGTTGCCTTCTGGTCTTACCTGCTTCCTGTGTTCCTGTACCTGTGCCTAGTAAGTTATTGACCCGGATTGCCTTTGACCTTGCTGATTTCTCCTGCCCAGACCCTTGCTTGCCTGACCTCTCTCCCTGGATGCCCCTTATTAGATCTGACCTCCTGCTGCTGACCTGGCGTGTGACCCGACGATTCTCTGCCTGCTCCCTTGTACCTTACCGTCCTCTACAATACCGACTCGGCCTGTCTGACTATGCACTTGCTCAGCCATCCATCCATCCATCCCATCGGGGTCACCCGACCTCCTCACATCTGGCTCTCCCTGGTTGGAGCCCCTGGCGAACACCACTACCACTGACAGGTGTGCTCAGCAGAGGCGACCTGGTCCCGGGGTACTACAAGTCCATCCCCACCATCAGGGGCCCTGGTGAACAAGTACCCTGGGGCTTAGACTCCGCGCTCTGGGCACGCCTGACCAGTGGAGTGCTAGTGGTGCCGCTCGGCGGTCCCTCACACAGTCAACTGGCTTACTTTAATAAAAAATTACCCAGCCCTGGATTAGCAATGCTAACAAAACCTTTGAAACTGATTCTACTAGCTAATTTTCTCTCCTCATCCAGTTGACAAAAGAAAAGTACTTCCCACCGTTACTAGCTTCTGCCACCGCTGATGACCTATTGCATATTGCAGTACTGCATATACACTCATTTTCATTTCAAGATAAAACTGTCTCATCTCTCCCTCTCATTGTTTAAAATGTACTTGCAGAGATTGTAGACCAGTGGCTGGAAACTCCAAGTTGGGTATACCAGTGGATCATGTCAGACTGAGTAGTCCAGGTCACAAGTCAGGGTCAGTGCAGCCAAAGAGAATCAGCATCAGAGTCATAAACCAGGGTCAGTACAAGTGTGAGAGAATTACCTACATGGTCACAAACAAGGGCAGCCAGCAAGGGGTTAGCATCAGGGTCACAAGCCAAAGTGAGTTACAAAGTAGCATGAGAAGTAACACAAGGCAGCAGGTTACAAAGCAGCATGAGAAGTAACATAAGCAGCCCTCCTTCTCAAGGAATGTCCACTGGTAGATTTTCTCTTTGGCTTATCATAATTTCTTTTATAGATGTTACTGATTAAATGCAACCAATGTATAGTTCCTTTAGGTTCCTCAAATCTTTTTTCAGGACCATAACCTTTCCCTCTTGTTAGATGTAGTAGCTTACCATGATGCAGCCAAGAATTTTCAAAATTGTCTACAATGAGTTTGTTTTCCTCTTGTACTCGGACAAGATCTGGTGAACGAACTGTGCATCAAAAAAAAATTTCAAATTAGTTTTAAATAGGGCCACATTAAAGACAGGATGGTTCTTCTTTGAAGGATGTAGCTTAAGTTACACCACAGGGTTCATTTACTTCAAAAGGACCAAGGAACATTTGGCTGAGTATGCAAATTCTGCTAATGGTAGGCAGCTGTACATGGTAGCCAATCAGCTTCTAACTTCAGCTTGTTCAATTAAGTTTTAACAGAAAAAAATGGAAGCTGATTGGTTTCTATGTAGATCTGCACCAGATTTTATGCTATCCAGTTTTAGTAAATAACTCCTAATGCCTTTGTCAGTTCATATACCCAAGGAAGCTCAGTTAACAGCAAAAATGTGTTTTTAACATATATGAAGAAGTCTGTATAACTACGCATTAAACCTCATCTTGTGCAAAAAACCTTTATTACTACATACCTTAAAATCTAGCAGAGGGGTACTAATTATAGTATGTAGCCTCCAATTTTTAGAGGGCTAATGCCAAACTAATGCTTCAGCCATAACACATTTTTTTTTATATTAAAATAATTATAATTACAAAAATACAAAGAGCCACAGAAGAGAGTGCACACCATACTAGAAGGACCACCCTTAAGACACTCTCAGTTCATTCATCATGTTGGACCCTTTCAAGAACATATACTCTCATTACAGATAGCAATTCACATTAACCACTTGCCCTCCAGAAGATTTACCCCCCTTAATGACCAGGTCATTTTTTGCTATTCAGCGCTGCGCTATTTCAACTGGTAATTGCGCGGTCATGTAATGCTGTACCCAAACAAAATGTATGTCCTTTTTCACACAAATAGAGCTTTTGGTGGAATTTGATCGCCAAGAGGTTTTTTATTGTTTGTGATATAAATGAAAAAAGACTTAAAATTTTGAAAAAAAAACAATATTTTTTACTTTTGGTTTTAAAAAATATATAGTAAGCTACATGTCTTTGGTAAAAAAAAAAACCCCAATGCATGTATATTAATTGGTTTGTGTGAAAGGTATAGTGTCTACAAATTATGTTATGTACAGTATAATGGTAGTTATGTAACTTTCTGACAGCCTATCACATTTCTTGAGGTGTTAAAAAGCCAGGGCAGTAAAAAAAAAAACACCAAATGACCTTTTTTGGAAAGTAGACACCCCAAGGAATTTGCTGAGAGGCATGTTGAGTTCATGATGGAATATTTTATTTTATGCCCCAAATGTTTGGAAAAAGCCCCCAATTTTTTTTTATACAAAGTTCTCAGTTAAATGATATATTGCTCACGCATGCCATGGGCCACATGTGAGAGACTTTTTGGCAGCCTAGCCACATATACGCCCCCCCAAATCCAACGACCACCTCTAGGCTTTCAAAGGGCATATTTCCTCATATCACTTCCTCACTACCTATCACACATTCGGAGGCCCTAAAACGCCAGGATGGTACAACCCCCCCCCCAAATGGCCCCTTTTTGGAAAGTAGACACCCAAGGAATTTTATAAGAGGCATGGCGAGTATTTTGCAGATATCATTTTTGTCACAGGGTTTTGAAAAAGAATACAAGAAAAGAAAAAATACATTTTCATTTTCTTTCTTCGTATTCCAAAAATCTGTGGCAACAAATGAGATCTGTAAAATACTCATCATGCCTCTTAGACCTTGGAGTTTCTACTTTCCAAAAAGAGGTCATTTGGGGGGGGGGGTGCTTCTACTATCCTGGCATTTCAGGGCCAACATTAGAAGTTTATGTCAGACATCACCCACTTTTCTAACCACTTGAAGCCCAAGCCTTTTCTGACACTTTTTTTTTTTATAAAATAGTTTTTTTTTGCTAGAAAATTAATTTGAACCCCCAAACAGTATAATTATCTGAAGGAGAGGCCCTAGAGAATAAAATGGTGGGTATTGAAATTGTTTTAAGTCACACCGTATTTGCACAGCGATTTTTCAAAAACAATTTTTTAGAATACACTTTTTAGAATTTTAATGCACAAAAACACAATATATTGCTCAATTCTTTGATAAAATATAAAAGATGATGATATGTCGAGTAAATGGATACCAGACATGACATGCTTTGAAATTGTGCACGCCTGTGCAACGGCAGCAAATTATGTAAATTTGTAATATCCATAGGCGATGCTTTAGGTCACCATTTTACATTTGCACAGGATGTTCAATGCTAGAATTACTGCCCTCGATCTGACGTTTGTGGTGATACCTCACATGCATGGTGCAATCTCTGTTTACATAAGGCCATGTGACCACCTCTTGCATTTGCCTTTGCGCATGAGCACGAGGATGGGGTGGGAGTGAATTTTTTTAATTATTTTTAAACTCTCACTTTCATTTTTTTTTTTTTTGATCACTTTTATAGTTATCAAAGGGAATGTAAATAACCCCTGTGATAGTAATAGGCAGGTACTCTTTTCTGAGAAATCTGGGGTCTATTAGACTCTAGATCTCTGCTCTGCCATTTAAGTATGTGATCACACCAAGATCGGTGTGACCAGATGCTGTCCCAATTTCAAAATGGCGCAATTTATATCCAACAAAATGGAAATTATGAAATGCTTGTAGATTCCAGTCTCTTAGACCATAAAGATGATTGGAGGCATTCCAGTCTCCGCTCAGCTCTAATATCAGCCAGTGGAACTGCTCCTGTGGGATGGGAGAGCCCAAGAAAACCTTGGAAGGAGGCAGGAGGGGTGGGAGAGTCCCTTCCTGCTGCTTGTAAAAGCAATCCAGTGGCTAATTAGCAGCTTCGATTGTTTTTACATCATCATCCCTGTATAACCACTCAAATTCCAGCGATGTACCAGTATGTTGCTGGTCCATGTTGGGTATATATGTAACAGCAGAGAACATATGATGAATCGGGACTGTGGACCAATATGATCACAATTCATTATTTTTTTGCAGTGCCCATGTTGAAGGTTAGGTCCAAAAAAGTTTTAAATTCAGAAACTGTAATAATTTTCCATGTGAATTGTCTGGTAAGAGCTGAATTTAGGTGGGCGGTGATGTATTGTTGTGAAAAACAGTTCAGGGGCTAAATGCTAGTGCTGACAGCGAATGGGGGCAATCTTGCTAATGCTGCATTTTTGGGGACACTATAAAAATGAGGCACTAGTATAATTCTGTTTATGATCAATATATTGATCTGTAAAAACACTATACTAGTAATGGTGGGGATCAGTGACCTAATGCATGAGTGTGATAGTGTGCAGGCAATCTAACATTAGCTGACCTGGGTTGGGTGGGGCGCTAATTGACCCTGACACTATCTGATGTTGCTAGTGGCAGAAATTATGTGATCAGTGAAAAATTCTATATACTGACACTGTACTAATGGCACTGGCTGGGTGATGGGTGATCAAAGGGTTAATAGGGGCGATCAAAGAGTTAAATGTGCTTAAATGTGCTAGTTAAGTGTGTGTAAAATGTAGTGCTTTTACTCTCTGTAGTGCTTTTTCTTTCCCTGAACGGCATAGGGGGCAGCGGGGGGCGTAAGCATGTGCACCCGGAAATAGAAAGCGACGTAACATTATGTTGCTTTGCCTAGAGTCACTGCTCGCCCACACATTGGTGGCGGGAAGGTGGCAAGTAGTTAAAAAAAATGTAAAAAATGCATCTTAATTTTTTAAAAACATTTTTATTTTTTAATATTTTTT